ATTATAAAAAAAGTTAAAACAATATATAACTTGCATATTTTTCGGATTCCCCCGATTGATTATCAATGTTGGAGTCAAAATAAATACTTTTACCAAAAGAGCTGCAAAAAGATATCAAAATTCGAAAAAGGCCTTATTGTATAATTACCTGAAAAAGAACCAGGAGTATTGAAATACTAGATAGTATATCGATTGTGCCTGACGGTACTTCCACAGCAGCGTTTGAGATCGATATTTCGGCCAAATACATGATGTTTTAATATTTAATTAAAATTATCTGGATGATTCACAAATCTTTTTAATGATACTTCATAACTCTTCATACGAAATACAAACGATATCATACCGAATCTTTGTTTAATTTACCTCCGGTCATACATTTCCGGCTAAATACATGGTCCAAAAAAGAACAATTAATTACAAGTAATAGAATGACTCACAAATTTTTTTAATTGCACTTCAAAACTCTTTATACGAAATATAAACGATTTAAAAGAATAGTTTTCCAACCGGAGTTTTTTTCCGGTCAAGTACATACGAATCTTGGCCTATGTATATACGTTATTGCTTTACAGCCATGTTCTTACAGAAATTGTAGACGAGTCTTTAAGGACATCCTAAAGATGTTTTGTGACTCGATTTTGGACATTTTGGCTGGAGTTATTATACAAACATAAAGTGAATATATTATTATAGCATTTTTATAACATTTCCTTTTTTAATCATTGATTAGAAATGCCGCTATAAAATAAATACTTCTAATGAAGTATATATAGTGCAATCAATATTTTTATTTGAAGTTAATTTGATATTAAAAATGTTTCTGTTAGGATCAGTGAATCAATACGCACACAGTTAGCTTCTTTGTATAAAAAGTCGTATAAATGCCTTAACACTTATTAAGATTTTCTACGATTTTTATGCTTACATGCAGACGCAATTATAGAAAATTAGCAAATAAGTATTAAAACATTTGTACAACTTAGCGCATAATGTTTTAATCACATAAGAACAGAATCACGTTCAAGTTAGCAATGAATCCGCTCATAAACAAATGTCGTTACGGATTTGTATCGTCAGCCGTTTTTATGAAATAATGCTGCAATTCTAAGTAAATATACGAGTAAATCGTAAAATTGTAAAGTCGTAGCTTACGAAAAAAAAAAAAAATTGTAAATATTTACGAGTTATCATCTGATATACCCGCATAGAATTGCAGATTTACTCGTAAGTTTTTACGAGTCTTACGAAAACAAGTTACGAGTTTTATGATTTTGTCTAGAATTACAATATTGCAGTAAATTTTGCCGAATGCTGCCGCTTGTTGGCGTTGACAATAATCATATGAACATACTCTCATAGCATAAGATCTTGAAGGGATATGGACATTTAAAAGTTCTCAGACTATTTTTAGGATATTCTGAGGACTTATGCGGACATTTAGTAATCTTTGGGCTATCTTTTAAATCTTGTGCTATGTAGGTAATAGCAGTCCAATATGTAAAGATCAACAGAAACTTTAATCCCGCCAGTGCACACACATCCTATCTTTCGTGTGTTTCCAACTAGTTTAAGCAAGAATAGTAAAGTAACGTACGAGCGCTCGACTTGATCGTTCAGTTTATTTGTATGGACAATAAACGATACATATACATGTGTGTACGAATTACGAGTGTCTTTTTCTTAATTCTAATACATCGATTGCGATCGGAAGCGCATACGGTGCATCGCGCGATGCCAATGTTGTCGTTCCGATTTGCACAGCTACTTTAATAATGATAATAAAAATTAAGTATAACTACCCTGTAAAATACATAATACGAAAGTTCCATCGTTATTCATAGTTATACTTATATGTGATTGTTAAGTCATCGATACTTCGAAATGACACTACCGGTTTTTCGGAGCGGGGGTAGGAGGAGGTGGACGGGGACGGGAGAAGAGTGATATAAATAGGTCGTCTCTCTTGCGGCGCGATTAGAAATCAGAGCCGCCAACGGAAACGCGTGATATAATGCTTATACGCGCGGGTGAATGATTCATATTTTATTAGGCGATACATTTTTCTTGGGTCGATATGAGTTAGCGAACACCTCCACTCTTCGTTTGACGGAAGCGAAGGTGGACTACAGGAAGATGTCAACTATAGCGCGACTATACGATCGTTTGTATCCGAAAGCGACCGCGTCCGCGGACGAAAGGCGGTCAAGTTACGATAGTCTTCGATCGGTATATATATACTACGTCATGACGAAAATGAGTCTTGTAAATAAAACAGTCTAAAACGAACGTCGTGTGTGATTGGTCATAGATTTACCGCATACGACGGCTGAATAGACCACCGTGCAGTATTCCTTCTTTTTTTTTCAATTTTGTTTTTATTTTAATATTTAATATTTTAATTTTTTTTTGTTTTATCCCTTCTTCTCTTTTTCTTTCTTTTTCTCACGCAAGATCGGTGATGGCACGGATTCAGAGATCGGTATCGTACCAGGCTGCTACCTGGTTGTTATCTTGCGGCGGTGCGGGAAGGTCTTCCAAATGATCGAAACTCAAATCACCCTCGTGCGCCACGTCCATAGTGTCCATTGGACCATACGTCGATCCACCACCTATCTCTAAGCCTTGCATCGAGTCTACTGGTATCTGGTCATAACCTGTTGCAAGAGGAGAAAAAAATATTTGTTTCAGATATTCCGTAACTCACTGTTCGTGCGATAATTACACATCAATATAGAGTGCAATCTTGTGTTACGAGATTGCAATATGCTATGTGTCGTCAAACCGAGACATTTCTACGATTCTTCTAACGGCTATTATATTTATGGAAGACTAATTTATGATTACTTCACATCGTTACAGTGTTAATGCATGTCACACCGATAATTACGGTCATTAATTAACTTACGACATCTGTTTCTTTTATCATAAGGACCTTGTTTCGAGTTGTAAGATAGAGACTTATTTAGTGGCTGAAGTTACTGATTAACCCGAGGGTGAGTGCTTAAGTATGCGGTGAGAAAAAAGACTATTGTGATGTGAGCTTTTCAGGCAGTAAAACTTTCTGAAAAACATCTTAAACAATTCTAAACAAATTGGGACGTCTTTTTTATGTCTTCAAGATATCTAGATGTTTGTGCTGCCTTTGTGCTTCATTTTTCTGTTGTATATAATTCCCCTAAATGTCCACTATCGGACTAGTAGCAGTAAATAACTGTAGACAGATGTACGTATTAAGGAAGATTCTGTTAGTTTTAATAATAAGCGACACACAAAGATAATAGCTATTTAATACCAAAACTTTATTACATGTCGCTATGTAATCGAATTAGTGAAAAGTTATATCGCTATTGTCTTCAAGAAATTAATAAAATATTTGCGTATTATTCTTTCCACGAAACTCTACTTTAGGGTTTTATTCTCCTCCCGGAGAATCAATGATGCATAATTCTTACGTAGTTACTTACAAACAGCATCCTATACATACGATTTCTCCATTATAAAGTGTATCGTGGCAAAAAGAACGATAGAAGAGTAAATATACATGCTAAAAGAGGACATACGTAAGTACATGTTGGTGATGTAGCGTGAGCTATATTACGACATGCACGCCAAACGACGAATATGTGATTGTAAGTAAAAAAAGAAGCGACTGAAAATAAAGGTATAACATTGAGCATGCAATTGAAAATAAGTGATTAAAGGTCAGTCAGATGATGAGACAAAGAACGGTATATGAGGACCGAATATCACCTATGTTACTGCGAGATACGGTTGATAGCTCGTATTTTAATCTAAGTCCATGGGTTAAGCTGCTGTTAAAATAACATATACAATTAAATGCATTATTTCACATTAGAGATAACGTGGCAAGTTATGATTAAACTTCGTCGTATTTATAGAAATGCAAAACACAGTATTGGCTCATAAAAAAATAGCATTGTCATATACGATTACGCCATTATAATGAGTTAATAAATCATATGCAATTTGTCATCACGATTATGTACATGGATATATGGTACATATTTTATACAGGGAGAAAGAGAGAAAGAGAGAGAGAGAGACTTGTTTTTTTTATGACCACATTTGTAATTCTGTCTACCTTCGATCGAGTAATAAGTCGACTGTTCGGAAGCGGCATTCGATGAATAAGATGGATAACACTTATAAATTACCTTGCGGCTGATAACCCCGACCGCCATGGCTGCTGTGTACGCTAGGAGGTCCTTGCCCATACATACCATCATAGCCTTGATCAGGGCCAAGCATGTCCTGAAGATTAGGTAGCTCAGGTCAACACAAAGCATATTATCTAAGGGAGGCGTGTCATGACACCCCAAAATACGGATGAGATACGCGCTATATCTGGTAAGTCTTGTACAATAATGGAAACAACTAAAGGGGCTTGCGTGTGAATAACAATAATAATGACGGTAAAAAAAAAGAAGATGAGGGGAAACAAATTTTGAAGTAAATATCTGAAATAAAACACATTCTCTCTCATGCACATTATAATCTTGCAAACTAATCAGTCAGACTAAATGTATCTCGTGATCCATTGCTCCATTAGGCACGACCCTGCTGACTTCCTCGATCTTTCAAATATTGACGAATAGATTTATGCGTATATACGCACATAGATGTAGAAATGTAAAACTTTATACACAATGAACCGTATGTTACAAAGCTTAAAAGCATGAGTTGAAAATTTAGTCTCAAGTGCGCTTGCGAGTTAATGATGTATGTATACCAAGATGCATTTGCACGAGAAGCAAACATTTGAAAACTGCTTATTAAAATGTTGAAAATTGGTTAAGAACTGTAAAATTGTATGAAATTAGTCTCAACACGTTATGTACCCGTCACTTTCACAAGTGTGTAACGATAAAAGTCTATAAAGCGTAAAAAAGATTGAACGCTCTGGAACACAAACAAGTATCGCAGATGCCTTAGTAGTGCAAATTGGAATAATGGATAATGTCGTACATAGCTTATAAACAGCTGTGCTCGGAATATTAATGTTGCACGGGGAAAATCTTGTATATAAATACCTGGAGTTATAACTAGAGAAATGGGGTGTGTCTCTACGACCAGTAAGAACTATTATTATTTTAACGTGGCACAATTTACTCAACACAATGTAACTACCTAGAAGACATTTAACATATTTTACGTATTTTCTATACTACGATGTAACGTATCTCAGGTAATATTACGTCACATTACAAACCTGATCCCTGGTGAGTATTTGAAAAGAACCAACGATAAAAGACGAAGTCTACTTTAGTATGCAACAACGACCGCTGTTACATAGTGTTTGCAAGTAAATCAATTTCGCCACGAGATATTTTACGTGCACTAGTGTTTCCCTTCGCTATAATACCTGGAGATCTGGTGGCATGCTAAAGTCAGCGTTGTTCCACAAGTTGGTGTCTTCGCGGAATAAGGAATTCGTCAGTTCCATGGAAAGTCGCTTTTTGTACTCTTGTGGCTTGTCCTCGCTCATGCGAAACAACACTGCCGCTGCGTAAGTTGCAACACCCTCGTTTCTGGAGTGAAGCAACTCTGTCAATGGGGCGGTAGCACCCTCTTGTTCTATCATCTCGGCGCCCTCCTTGTCAGCCGCCAGTTCGCAAAGTACGCCGGCAGCCACGCGTTGAATGTTTTCAATCTCGTTGAACAGTAACTGGAAACAACATAACACATTATTATTTACATGAAAAAATCTAGATTAATCTAATTATGGCATCATTAGTAGTTGTATTATATGCCATATAATGGGAACGGTGATTACTTTATTATTCTTTTAAGTTACGACAATTAGAAAGTGCAAAGATATACAGTTGAATTTTATGTATGTTACACACATAGCTGTACATACTTGAACGAAAATTGGAATCACGTTCTGTGATCGGATTATCACCCTATTATGGGATTCTCTTGCCAAAATATGAAGTGCACCAACTGAGCCCTCCACAATCTCTTCCATACGTACTCCGTCCGCATACGCACCCGAAGTCTGTTGGCTACCAGTACTGGCCACGGATGATCGTTGCTGCACAAATCACAAGTGGTATTATTTCGTAATATAAATGCAATTTTACGTAATAACAGATTGCTCAGGTCAACTCACTCGTTGTGTATCCTGGAATGCGCGCATTAGAAGTCTCACGAGATGATGTATTGCGCCGTGGTCGCGTAGCGGGATGTGATTTGCAGGACAAAGAGCTAGATTACGGATTAATCCGATAACTGCCTTCACCAACGGCCAACGCGACGGAGGATGGAGTAATTTGACTATGACCTGAATACCAAAATTAACTCGGACATTATTTTGTGCCATTTCCGCTTCTCCGTGACGCGAGGTCAAGTGGCGCAAGGCGCACACTGCTGGTTCAGTAATTTCCTCCCGATCACCGGCATTGATGATCGTACGAACGAGAGCTTCGACGCCTCCAACCTGACAAACAGTCACCTGCGAGAGAAAGAAAGAGAGAAACACAACAGTTTTCATCTTTGCCAAATATTATCTCACGGGGAAAGCACGCGGGGAAATGTCTTTATTTTAGCGTACTTTGTTACGCTGATTGTTGCATGTAAGATTTGATAAAATGCCAGCGGCGCATGTGACAACGTTCACGTCCGTTGACCCAAGCACCTGCACGAGACTCTGCAGTAAGACTTCGAGCCCGTCGACTTTCGTGCCAGCGTCTGATAGATTGCGCAATGTCCACAAACAGTTTTGCACTAATCTCTGACTCGGATTTCCGAGATGCATGGCGAGCGCTTGCATGCCACCAGCCTCTACGATTGCGGGTTTGTTACTGGGGCATACAGATAGTACTGTAAAGAAAACGCATAATTGATAAGCGTGAATATCAAATATCTGGTCGAGCACATTATAGAAGCTTCATGAGGATTCGCCAAATCGACGCTAAGTCTGGAATTTACCTTTCAATACTCTCGAAGTGGTCCACAATAGTTTTTCATAATCATAGGAGCGCATGATGCGCACAAGCTCTATCGGACCCTGCGAAGCAAGAATGATTAACTTGCTCTCTTGATTTCCATACGCCAGAATCTGCAGACAATCGGTAACAATAGCCAAGAACTTGACGTTGTTTCGTTGCAGCAGAGCGACCATCTTCTGCAAGCCCCCCGCAAGACGCACAGCCATCTTGGAGCCGTCCTGATGAAGCAGCAAGTTATGGAGAGTCGTTATGGCATAAAAAAGTACTGACTCTACTGGAGAGCTGAGCAGCTTCACAAGAGCTGGTATGCCGCCGCTCTTGAAGATGGCCAGCAAACCCTGCCTGTGATGAGACAAATTGTGCAGGGTGCCGACAGCAGCTTTTGTTGACTCCAGGTCGTCGCTGTTGGAAATGGCGCGTACTAATGCAGCTACCATTTGCGAGCTGTTCATGATAGCGTGACGAGAAGCTTCTTTCTTCGATAACTGATGTACCATCATAGCTGCCTGAGAAACAACCACTTGATCCTCGTCATTCAAGAGCTTGATCAATTCCGGAATAGCGCGCGTCGCGAGATCGGCGTCATCCTGATAATTGATCAAATTGACGACAGCGTGCTTCAACATCTGACTCGGCTCGGCCAGTCGCTGTACAGCGGTGGGTTGTGCTGGATCGAACTGCGTGGATGGTATCTCGATACCTTCCTCCAGCGTCTCGGGAAACATAGCAGCGCGCACCCGCTGAGACCGAGTGTGACTCAGTTGTTGATTCATTTCTGTAAGGTGACAGTCTCCGATCAGAATATGCAATGTTCAATTATGAAGAGTTAACGTTCAATTCACAAAGGTGGTGAATTCATCAGCCTCACCATCAACTTGATCTTGTGTGAAACCCTGTGCAAATCCTTGGTCCAAGTCGAACATGAGCTGATCCCCTTCCATCTCTTCATCTTCCTTGCCTGACAGAGACGGTGCTTGAGTGACAGCGCCGGAATGAATACCTGAATCGCTTAGGTAAGAATTCTGCTGCCACATGAGGGTCTGTTCCTTTGCAGAGCCCATGGGCAAGTCGCCCGGGCCCTGGTAATTTCCATGAGACACTGAAATTCCAATAAACAAATAACGATCTAATACCACGCGCATACCTAAGCGTGACGAGTTCAATCACATAAACGCAACTTACTCGGTCTAGACTGATTGGACGACATCGGGTAACTCATGTCTCCGACAAGCGAGTTTATCCTGTCACCTGCGATAAGTAAAAAAAAAGATACGTGAGCTTCTAGACTGACCGCCTCATTACACGGCCTGAATGGCACACAAAAACTTGTAAGCAGTAAAGGATCGTCTACAATGTGGTATTCATTGATGAATTCAATAAAACTTTTCACTTTCACGAGTTTACGCGAATAGATACACGATCGATTCACAGACTAGTACTATGACCGCATTGTAGATGATTCCTACACTTAGGCGCTAAGAAAATAGACCGATCGATTATTTTTGAATCGTAAGAAAAATCGACTGTGATCGATCGATTTGCTTATTGCTTGAATTTTACTGCTTACGTTTTTTTCTGTGCTCCTGGCTATGTTGCTTCCAATTATGTCAAATATGCAAAAAGAAACGACGCGGCGATGCAAAAAGATCAGACACAAGGGCGAGGCTATGTTCAGTTTATCCAGCGCGAGTCACACCGAATCACCGGCTCTCTGCGAGATGCGAGCGCGTTTCAACTCCGGACTGCTTGCGGCGAGAGTAAAATGGCTTGAAATGGCTCTGAAAGTGTCATGCGAGCGCCTATTCGCGCGTTACTAATATCGTAACGCGACAGTTGACGGCGAAACAGTGCGCGGAACTACGGTGGGTCAGTGTATCCCGTGCTGACGAGGAGAGATACTCCTGCACGGAATGTGGGCACGATCGAAGGGTCCCTCTCTCTCTCTCTCTCTCTCTATCTTTCTTCCTCCTCGACGTTCTCCCTCCCTCCCTCATTCACTTACTCACTCACACACTCTCTCTCTTTCTCTCTCGACTCGCGATCGAATATTACGCACTCCGCGGCTTGTCGTGTCGTTGCACTCGACGGGTACAGCCGCGAGATGAGTCTGCGGTAGGATCCTCGCGATGCAAGAGGAATTTCGTATCAATCTCTATGTAATCTCTACAAAGATCCCAGGCATGCGATACATCACCATTTTCCGACAATCGACGATGCTGCGCGGAAGAGGGATAGGTTGGTGTAAGAAGGAGGGAGAGAGAGAGAAAGAGAGAAAGGAAGCGGCAAAGGGAGAGGCAATTGACATCTATATGTGTGCGCGCACGTATGCGTGTGAAATAGAATGAGAGAGAGAGAGAGAGAGAGAGAGAGAGAGAGAGAGAGAGAGAGAGAGAGAGAGAGAGAGAGAGAGA